AAAAGGAAAAAAAAAGAGATATATTTTAATTTATTATTTTTAAAAAGATGAAAAATCTTAATTTAATATTTATTAAAACTAAAATAGTAGCCATTAAGATTAAAAAAAATTTAAATATAAATTCAACAAAAATTAATTTGATTTGCATCTGTAATACGAATGCCAAAGTTATATTTTTCATTTTTAACAACATTCATCAATTGTTATCTATTTACATTATAACACATTGTTTTGATGTTTTAAAATTGAAAAATTCCAATAAAAAACATTAGTGTCTTAATTTTTTAAATAAAAGGCCCTATTCTCATTTTTTGTGACGATGTTTTTTTAATAAAAAAGTCTTATTTTCATTTTTTATGGAGATGTTTTTCTATAAAAACATATTTATTTTTTCACATTTGATAACGATCTTAAATTCATTTAATACAAAATAATTGCATGGCTCTCTCATCATATATATATAATTCAATGATAAAAGATCGTTTGAGAAGAGATTTAGCTTTAATAACTTTGTTAACTAATATGAAAATACATTTTAAATAAATAAAAAAATCCACATAATGTATTTCTTTTTTAAAAAAAGTTTTTAAAATTATAAAAATATTGATTTGGTATTTCTTTTATAAAGTTTTTAAATGATTTTAATATAGTGATCTTAAAAATAACAAAAAAAGAAGAAGATAAATCATTAATTAATTTAATCTTCGAAAAAACACATACTAATTAGAGTAGTAAATTTAATTTTTTTTTAAAAAAAAAGGCATTCCAAAATCCCTTGTTGGAAAATTCATGGCTACAAATGGATGCAAAACCTGACAATTCATGGCCGAAAACAGAAACCCAAATCAACGCCTATATGTATTAACAACCAGTAGATCTTAAATTCCACGGGTACACTACTTGCATGGTCCTGCACTATAAAATTCCAAGAAATGGTCCTCTATCCTTCCACGACTGCGTTTGCTTCCAAACTCTGGTTCTCTGCCATTATCTCTCACAGAAATGATGTCAACTCCTGCTATTCTCCACAAACCCACTTTCAAATCCTTGCTTTTTAGTCCTTTTAAGCTTAATCAAGCGAAACCCATCTCGTTCCATCGGTTTCCTGCTTCAAAATCTGATTTTTTTAGTTCAGAGAATAAAGCTTTGTCAAAGAACATGACTGAATTGGTCAGAATGTCTGCCTTCAGAGGCGGTAATGGTACTGACAGTGAAGAAAGTACAGGGTTGTTTCAGCAAGAAGCTGTTATTGATTGGCTTAACGAGTTTCAAAGTGGGCTGTTGGCTGATGGACTTGAAGCCACTCTCAACCGCCTGGTTTGTGTTTTTCTTTTTGTTTTAGTTGCCTATTTTTAGTGCTTTTATTCTTTGTAATCTAAGTTGTGTTTTTTTTCCTTCTTGATTTTACGGGTCTTTTTTATAATAACTATGATTTAACATGTCGACTAATTGGAAATGGAAGCATTAAATTTAGTTACTTTCAACGGCATTTGATGTAAGGCTATTGCAATCAAAGATCAATCTGCTTGTCTTTCTAATTTCAGTTACTGTCTGTCTGCATTTCCTTCTTTATTGGTCAAGACTTGTGAAAATTGACACAAATTGCACTTCCTTTTTGTCTGGTTTGAAGTGAGACGTGTGCCCAAAACAGCTGAAATTGTGGAGTTAATTGAGGTTGCAATTGAAAGATGAGACTAGTTCAAGGAAGATTGGTTCCGTTTCCTAATTCTCTGCTGGAGCATTTGCATTGAGAACGCAATTTTTTGGCAATCATGGCATGAAGTTATTACAAAATCTTCTTGGCTTGATGGTGTTTAGCACTAGGAATCCTCTATAGCTGCTGTATACCAGATTATGCTACTTCATATTTTTGTTTTATTTATATGAGGTTCAATTCAAGGAAGTGGCTATTTTTATAATTTCAAGCATCTGGCACCACATTTGACTACCACTGCCATTCCAATTTGTTTTGTTATTGTCATATTCTGCAATATTCCTCTGTCAGTATTTCAATTTTGGCATTAGAATGAAACAAATCCTCATGATGTTAGTCGTACGTTTGTTGTTGGTACAGAGCAAATGGCTTGTAGCTGCTCTATTCGGTGCTGTCATTCTTTGGAGGCATGATGCAGAAGCCGTGTGGGCTGTCTTGGGGTCAATTGTAAACTCAATCCTCTCTGTAATCCTTAAACGAATATTCAACCAAGAGAGACCCGATTCCACATTGAGGTCTGACCCTGGGATGCCATCTTCTCATGGACAATCCATCTTCTTCACTTTGGTGTTTGCTATTCTGTCAGGTAAGGTCCCCTCTTTACTTGACATGTTTGCTATTTATCATGCAACTGACTATTTTAGATCAGCAATTGCAAAATCTAACTGAAGAAGCTTCATGATAACTCCATCAATGATGATGGCATGCAGTGCTGTATTTTTGTTCTCCTCAAATGCAAAAGATGATCTGGGTTAGTTCACCTCAGTTTTAGATAACACCAGGAAGCCATGTAGAATGCGCTTGTATAGATATTTGGATAATTAATGATTGATTGGTTAACAAGTCTTTTCTCTTAGGACATAGAATAGATCTATGTAGTTGTGACAAGGGAAGTAAATGAAATGATATCTTATCTCCCCATCAACGTGAGCCTAATCTCATCTCTTAAAAAATGGTGCGACTTTCAGTAATCTGTATGTTTTCTCTTCTTACGATGCGGCTACTTACTGTTACAGATGCTTTTTGCATGTCTGTTTTTGGTCTTAATGAATGCTCCTTGGTGAATTGTCAATGTACTGACTTCATTGCTGACATGCATTGCTTGTTCTGTGTGCTGTTGTAGTTGTGGAATGGCTAGGAGTGAATGGATTTTCATTGATCCTCGGTGCAATTATCCTGGCATTTGGCACATATCTTGTAAGTATCATGTTACCCCCCTCATAATACATTCAAATTCAGCATGCGACAAAAATTTGGTCTCACTTTCGAGTTTATAAAAAACAATCAACAATGTAGAAACCTAGTGGCTTGCAAATTAGGAAAATCACTGCTGATTGAGTGAAGCCTGTGAACTAGTGCAAAATACTTAGTATGCTTTCCAAAGCCATTCCAAGACCAAATAATAGGGTATAGAGGTTGGAGCTTATGACAATTGTAGATTTTTTAACTTCTTCCCTATGATTTGGTAAGAATTTATAAAATCTATGTGGTTATGACCCCCATTGGTTGAGCAAGTGAAATGCCTTGGTCAAAGAAGAGATGGAGCATAGTAAATAAACCGAAATGGACAGGTTTCTAATTTTTATCTATCATCATCTGTTTTGTAGACATGGTTGCGGGTCTCACAAGGACTTCATACAATCAGCCAAGTTGCGGCGGGTGGTGCTGTAGGATTCATTTTCTCCATTTTTTGGTTCTGGTCATGGGATGCATTTGTGCATGAGGCATTTATTTCCTCTCTTTCGGTTCGCATAATTGTGATTATGGTAGCTGCTGCATCCTGCCTGGGTTTTCTTGTATATGTTATCCGTTATTGGTTCAGAGATGAATGATGAATTTTTAAATAGTTGAATATGATTACACAATTTACAAGCAATTCATTCGGAGCAAATCAGAATATCCGAACCTGAAATAGGGCTTTATGTAAATTGTCCACTTACAGTGAAGGAACCATCATGAACCAACTTTGAAAGCAGCAATTCATTCGGAGCAAATCAGAATATCCAAACCTGAAATAGGGCTTTATGTAAATAGTCCACTTACAGTGAAGGAACCACCATGAACCAACTTTGAAAGCAAAGAGGTTGCTTTATTCTTCAATTTTTTTTCTGAACTATTTAAACTTATATTAGATGTGTTTATATGCCACTACACACTATACAAAACGTCCACTCACTATGATTTTACACCTTCAACTTTTTATTGAGCTAGGTTTTGCAGAAAGATTCTTGTTGTGCATAATCATCATGTGTTTCAACTTCGGTGGAATTGATTTTTTTTTTTAAAGTATTTTTTATTTTTTATTTGAAAATATATTAAAATAATATTTTTTTATTTTTTAAAATTATTTTTTATATTAATGTATCAAAATAATTTAAAAATATCAAAAAATAATTAATTTGAAGTAAAAAAATAAAATAAAAATTAATTTTTTTCAAAAATAATTTTGAAATATGAAAACAAAGATGTTCTTGTTAAATAGTCTGGATACAAAAGGAGAGATGAGGCTAAGAGAAAAGGAAGAATAGAGTTCCCATCTCGACCGGAAAAGGATAGATAACAACTCAAAAGAGGGATGCTTGAATGAAAAGGAATTCAGGGATGAAACAAAGAAAACGGATTCATAGAGCTGACCTCAATTGTTTTGGAATTAGGGTTATGTTGACTTGTCTTGGCATCTCGGTGTTCGGCATTATCTAACCAACCATGAGGAAAAAGATTTTTTTTTTTGTTAGACATAGCTGAACACGAAGGAGTGCACTGTGCGCATAATCAAGAACAGGTGCTTCAAACTATCTAAAGCAAAATCAATGACCATCCAAGAACTATTAAAAAAATGAATACTTTCCACATGATTTAGATGAAATGAAATCGCAATCTGACTGGTGGAAAGAAAGCAAATAATAGCCTCCCATTTCATTAATCACTATAAGACTTTAAAGTGGACGTGTTTTAGAATAGTTTCCCTAACATTGCTCTGATGAAATTTCACGCACATAGATCTTACTCTACTGTAAATTTTCTTTCCACATGATTTAGATGAAATGAAATCTGAATCTGACTAGTGGAAAGAAAGCAAACCATAGCCTCCCATTTCATTAATCACTATACTTTAAAGTGGACGTGTGTTAGAATAGTTTCCCTGACATTGCTCTGATGAAATTTCACGCACAAAGATCTTAGTAAGTTTCAAAATGATCAGGAAACCCTGCCCAGCATTTATTCAATAACATCAATCTTCTTGTTTCACTTCAAAAGCTTGTTGGAGTTCTGGAAGGACATTTCCTTTGAAAACTTGGGACATCTTGATATTAATGTTGTTAGACAAAAAGGGTCAAGGAAAAGACCATCGACAAAAACTAGTTCCACAAGAAGGTTAACATTTTGAACCTTCAATTTGCTGTTGTAACTCTACCATCTTCCCTTTTAGGTGGGATAGGTTATCACAACAAGTTCCACAAGAGATAAGAACATGACCTTCAGAAACAGTTGGATTGAAACTGGAATGCTTTTGTCCAGAAATTTTCTCCAAAATGCAAATAAACTCTTCACGCAAGATCATGGGCAGAAGATGGGATTTTGCTGAAATTGAAAGACTTCTTCCCTTAATGTGCAAGGTATAAATGATAGAAGCATGCCCTCACATTCCTCTGAACCAATTTTTGGTGGATCAGCCTATGACTATTCTTCAGCTTGGCAGATTCATTTGTAAACTTTAAGCTGCTGCAAAAGATAGTGATGATATTGAAAATTAGGTCTCTCTGCTATGTGCAGAAACCAGGATCATTTCCAGGAGTTTCTGCATAAAATTCCTCTTTATCAGTTGATCGACTTACGGCTTCTGTTCAGTTTTGCAGCAGGATCATTTGTAACTTTAATCTGCCATAAAATATAGCAATCCCAGGGCATGCCACCCCATACAAGATGCATGCTTTCTGCACTTCTACTTCAGTTCATCCTTCAACTGATTTACTTTTTGAAGACAAAATCAGATTCCATTTATTGTTTTTGATTTGTATCAACACTCTGCAACATCCTTTCCATTGTTTAGGATCTGTGGCTCCTAAAGAAGTGATTAAAATGATTTAACAGACCACTAAAATCTGCATTGTTATAATGAAGCTTGGTTCACCTTTGAGATTCCTGGACTGCAAGAAGAAAATCTATTTCCTGAATACGCATTTCTGCTTGAGATGCTAGTAAATCCAACACATCATATATATATTCACCCTCTGGATGAGACCGATCACCAGACACAAATGCAGAAACTCGATCCTTAACCTTAATCCAAGACCATCCTGGTTCCTTAACTACCCCCTTTGATTTCATCATCTTCCTTACTTCCGCTGCTTCTTTCCACTTTCCTTTGGCAGAATACATGTTAGCCAGGGTAATGTGAGTCACTGCACAATTCGGATCTAATTGAAGAATTTTTTCCGCTGCCCGTTTTCCACAATCCACATCCCCATGGATTCTGCATGCTCTAAGAAGAGTAGACCAAACAACATCATCACGTTGAAATGGCATGCTTTGGATCATGCTCTCTGCATCATTTAATCGCCCAGCTCGGCATAGGAGATCAATCATGCATCCATAGTGATCTTTTGAAGGACAAATCTGGTGGACCTTACTCAAAGAATTGAAGTAGTGGAAACCAAGATCAACCAGTCCAGCATGACTGCAAGCAGCAAGAACCGCAATAAAGGTCACAGAATCTGGCCTCAATCCAACCTTGGGAAGCTTCTTGAACAAATCAATGGCTTCCTGGCTGTATCCATGTTCAGCATATCCATTAATCATGGCTGTCCATGATACAATATTATTATATTCTGCCTCATCAAAGATTTTTGAAGCTTCCTTTATGCTCCCACATTTTGAATACATATTGATTAGAGCACTTTGTACCATGGTGTTCTGTTCTAATCCAACGCACAAGACATGAGCATGGAGTTGCTTCCCTTGCTCAAGAATTGCCATATTTCCACAAACACTCAGCACACTTGCAAAAGCAAACTCATTCGGTCTTGGCCCTTCCCTTCTCATCCATGATAGATAATCAAATGCTTCTTCTCCACAGCCCCCTTGAGCATACCCTGAAATCATAGTACTCCACGAAATAATATCTCTTCTAGACAACCCTTGAAACACAGTTGAAGCCAAATCTAGCTGCCAGCATTTCGAATACATGGCCATAATTGAATTGGCCACAGACAAAGAATCCACTAGACCTAGACGTATAACATGTGCATGCAATTGTTCACCCCATTCAATTCTTCCAAGAGCAGCACAACCAGAAATGACAGCTGCAAAAGTGAATTCATTAGGACTTACATCTGTTTCTCGCATTCTTCTAAATGCTTTAACAGCATTTTCCTCCTGACCTATCTGCACATTCGACATTATAATCGTCGTCCACGAAACCACATCCCTTTGTGTCATGCTTTCAAACAACCGCAAACCATAATCCAATTTCCCACACTTATTATACATTGTAGCAAGGGTGTTAGCCACGAAAGACACTGCAATAAAACCTTTCTTCAATGTTTGACAATGAATCTCCCTCCCATAATTCAAAGCACCAGAATCAGCACATGCCTTTAACGCACTAGAGAACGTGTAGGTATCACACCCTACCCTTTGTATCCACATATCAGAGAAATAAGCCAAAGCCTTCTTATTATAACCGGCACGGACAAGCCCAGCTATGATAGCAGTCCAAGATACCACATTCCTCAAAGGCATATCTTTAAACACAAAACAACCTTCTTCAACTTTACCAATTTTCATGTACATATCCACAAGTGCACTCCCTACAAAAACTGAGTTAACAAAATCAGTTTTAACCGAATACCCATGTAATGACTCACCAAAGCTCACACTCATATTAAGCCCACAACCTTTGAGTGCAAGACTAAGAATAAAGGGATCCATGTGGAGACCCGGCTCAACCCACATTTTAGAAAACAAAGACAAGGCTTCTGTCGTGTTCATACCATTGACATAACCAGAAATTATAGTAGTCCATGAAATTTCGTCTCTTTGAAGCATTTTATCAAACAGTTGACGTGCATTGTTTAAATGACCTGTTTTCACTAGATTCTTCAAAACTAAGTTGATTTCTTGCATGTTTAAGTGATTATCGATGTGGGTTTGCGGCGGTGAGGCTTCTGGTTTTGGATAAGAGACGACGAGGTATCTGTAATCAGTGCAAGCCATGGTTGATACTGCACATAGTCTTCTAACATGAGACCGGACTGAGAGAAGCATGTTTCTGTTAAGGAAAAGAAGCAGCCGTGCCAAGCACTAGACCAGCCCGCGGTTAATTACTAGTGGTTAATATTTAACGTTAGATATTATAGTATTAAAATAATATTTTTTATTTTTTAAAATTTATTTTTAATATCAATATATTAAAATAATTTTAAAATATAAAAAAATTAATTTTAAAAAACAAATAAAATAACCGATTTGGGCCGTATACTCACTCCGTGGCACAAATTAACCTTATATTCAGCCTTGATAGGCCCACTGGGCCGTGGAGATAATTTGTGAGCAAAAGTACAAGGGCTTATTACCATCTTTCGTAGTGGTTTGGCGAGAAGATAAAACTAAAGTCAGTGACGGAGGGGTTGATGTGAGCAAAAGTACAAGGGCTTATTACCAAGATAAAACTAAAGTTAGTGATGGTGGGGTTGCAAAGGTGATCATAACCACTCTGTATGTCTGGGATAAATCACTACTTTTATCTCATCACAGCAACTTGTGTTACTACCTCTATGGCCCACATTGGATTTCAAATAATGATTGGTCGATATGGCCCACATTGGATTTCAAATAATGATAGGTCGAATTTTAATTTTTTTATTTAACATTAATTTTTTTATATTTTTGATATAATAATATAAAAGATAATTTTATTTTTTTATTTAAAATTAATTTACTTACATTTTTGAAATTTTTGATACAATGATATAAAAAATAATTAAAAAATATTTTGATATATTTTCAAATAAAAAAATAATTTAAAACACAGTCCTCCTAAGAGGATATTATATATTTTTAAATAAAAAATAGTTTAAAACACAATCCTCCTAAGAGGATACGGGAAAGCCTTGATGATAATGTTGATGGATTCAAATCAGGTGTTAAGGGCGCCTCAAGCTTGTTTATGGCAATAAATAGCACCACAGACGGCCAAAAAGAATAAACATGGCCACCTGTATATAGAATTTGGGCATTCGGAAATTGAAAGAAACAAAATTTCCTGTATAACTAGTCATTCATACAAAATTGCATGGTCAAGGCCTGAGAGACGGGATTTTTCTAGAGAATTTTCTTCTTCTTGTGTTTATGAGTATCATCCCCGTCTTTTCCTTCTCTCTTCATTCCACCTTTGCGACCTCTCCTCGGCCCCTGAAACCAAAAAATAAAGCATTGTAAGCTTAGCATCTCCAACCACTATTTAATTTGACTTCCAAGTGAACCAAGGATTCATGGTTGAAGATGAACGTATATTACCTCAGCAGAGAAAGACTTGAGGGGGTCTTTACTTCTTCTGAAGTTTCTCTTTGGTCCCTGGCGGCGAGCAGAGTTGTTATTTCCCATTGCAGCTCTCGCAAGCTTCACCATCTTGCTTGCTTCCTTGGTTGTTGCATCCAGTAAGTAGTCAGGCACATCAGAAAGATGTGGAGCAGGGGGCTTCTTGCTCAGAACTTTGTCATGTTTTAGAAGATCTGTTCCGATACAAATTCAAAGCTAAGAACTTAGACAAGTAGCGAAGTGAGGGAAGCAGGACAGTCAAAATAGACAAAATTAGTAAGTGCATCACCTAAATCCCTTGGATTGACTTCGAAATGAGCCTTCAACCTACACAAGAAAACATAAATTGAAAACGAAAGGTCAATGCTCGCATACAAGTTCAACAGATGTTTCATAACAACTAAAAATCTCAGAGAGATGAAGGTCAGATCTCATGGGATAGAACATAAAAGTCGTTTATATCAACAATCTGTGACATAGGACGAGAAAAGTGGAAAATGAGTAAGAAAGTGGACAGAGGAAAGCATACACTCACTTTTCAGAGTTAAGAATTTCATTTCTCAAATCCTGAGCTCGTGCTTCTCTGACAGCAATTTTTGTGACGCTCTTTGCTGTGTCCTGCAAAATTAATCTCTACCCATTAATGATTCAGGATATTTATGATCTTTGCTTCTTCTGGATGTAATTTGTCCAAATTTGTGCTGATGCAACAAAATCATATCCAAAATTTAAGGTAATGACAACAACCAAAAGTTGCACATGAACACCAGTTAAAACGGAGACCAGATCACAGGAAGCAACTATGATCACCAAGACTTCACCTAGATTTCACATGCACCATTCATTGAAGAATCTAGGGAGATCACAAGGAAAAAAGAAACTCTTCTAATGGTATATACTTTGTAAGGAGGAAAATAAATGAGGAAAAAGCTATTTTGAAAGATAGAGTGAAACATCCAAGAGAACTACAACACACACACAAGCTATTTTGAAAGATAGAGGGGAATAGATGCCAGTCATTGGCCTCAAATGCACTTCAGCAAACACCGACAACAGCTTGAACCAAAAAAAAAAAAAAAAAAAACACCCAAACCCCCACCCTT